GTTAAGGTCCCCTGAGGGGACTTCAGTTTGAGAGAAATGTTGTAGTCTCAGGCTATCTCTTGTCTACTGCCTGAAAATAGTTGCCTCATATCTTTGACCCATTTTAATAGTTGTTTATAGAAGGAGAGCTAGTCTGGCACCAGTTATTCTGTGAAGGCCCAAGGTGGAAACTTCTCCCGGCACCATTCTGTGCTGAGCCTGCAGCACGGACCCCGTGGTTTATGGGCAGACTTGGAGGGTGGTTCCTTAGGATGGCGCCTTATCCTCCCCATTATCAGGCAGCTCATCTGTTAGGGTAGCGGTTTGTTTGCACATACTGGGAAGCATGAAAATCATTTTGAGAAGCATTGTTCCAGGCCCCTTGATGTTACTGGCAAAGGACTCATCATGTTACACATGACTAACCTCTTGCCCCACTGAATGTAAGACTTAAGCAATTCTGAATATACAAAGAACTCTCTCAAATCATTGAAAGACAACCCCGTAGAGGAATCAGCTAAAAGGATATAAACAGACGATCACAAGGAAGAAATATAGATGACCACTATGTAGATAATCAATCTCACTGATAATTAGGAAGAAGACTCATCAGGGAGGGAAGAAATGAAGACACTTGGTTACACACCTTGTCACCAACATAGAGAAATGGATACCCTCCTACGTGGCTGCTTTGAGATGGGAGTCCACATTGGTCCCGATTCTTGGGAGGAGAGTTTATACTACCTACCAAAAAGCAGAAGCTGACAACCCAGGAATCTGCCTTCTGCGCAGCTCCCTAGAAAAAGAGTGTGTACAAGGAGCTTCATACAGAAATGCGTATGAGAAAATGTGTTGGCAATATTTTAGAAACAACGTGAAGGTCAGCCAGTGGGGTGGGGCGGGGGAGGTTCATACTGTTCTGTGAGTTTGATGTATAGGTAACAACGTGGATAAACTTCCAAGATGTACTGTTTAGGTGCAAAGCAGTTTAAGGACCTGGTACCACTTAAGTGAAAATCAGTACACACTCACACAAAAATACCGGGTAACTTCTCTGGTGTGTCTGTGTGTGTAAGGGTCTGTATAAACATGGTCTGGAAGGCTGCCCACCTAGCAGTGCCTTCCTCGGGGGAAGACACAAGACTTCCGGATGGTACATGGTGGTAAAAGGGGACTTCAGTCTTATTCGTAATGTTTTCTTTCTTTTTTAGCGGAGAATATGTTCACCTGTTACTTACACAAATTAAAGTGACATAATTAAACAGTAAAGGCCAGCTGGTGTTTACACTGACCGCTCTGTTCCAACCTGCCAAGTGGCTGCTTCCCCTGCGCTGCGGCCTGGCAGGAAGGCGCACGGGGCCGCACCTGCGCTCAGCCCTTGTTATGAGGCTCTGGGTGAGGTGGGGGAGTAGTGAACACTGTCTGCCTCCTGCAACAAGGGAGGCAGTAAAGCCACCTGCTGCCTGCCCTCGGGGAAGGGGGCCTTTGCTTCCCCCAGGCTGGAGAGACGGCGACCAGAGGAGGGCAGGCGTAGGGGTGAGGTTCTTCCCTTGTTCGTCTCAGACGTGTCACTCAGCCTCCTTCCCTCTGTTCAGAACACCGAGTCGGGTCCCATCTGTTCGGGTTTCTGTTTGGCCTTTTTGTTGGTGCAGTGGTATTCTGTATTCCGCATTATTTGTTCAGCAGTCTTCTTGGCAGTGAGGTCTGAACTTGGGCGGGCCGGCTCGGCACAGTTCGGGGTGGGAGTTGGGCAGCCACAGGGATGGAGCCAGGCCAGAGCTGGTTCATCCATGGAGGCCTGATGATCAAAGCCAGACACATGCGCCTGCACCCCTGCTCGGAACTGCAGGGCAGCCTCCCTGCCTGTTAGGACATCTCACCGCCTCAGGCAGGAGCCCTCATAGGGACTTGCTACTGTTTTTCTAGTTAAGCCTTCCTTTATGTGACTGTCATTAAAGGACATGCAGTACAGAAAGGCAATAGTCAGATTAAGCCAGAGGATCAAAGTTTTGTTTCATACAGAGCTTTAATTAATCTTAGGTTTTTAGGAATAATCTCATTTTCCTGACACACAGACGTCAAATACCTTAGGGAGGTCCCCAGTGGTGGAATTGAAGACTTTTGAGATTGTGAGAAACCCAGGACAACTGAGTTCCCTCCAGCTTGGTGCTGCTTCATCGGGCCTCCTTCCTTGTTAAATCTCAGCATTGCTGCCAGTCTGGTCCACGCAGAGATGATCAGTGCCGGTACAGACAATCCACACTTGAGTAATTAGATGTTGTCTGTCTAGACGTTAATGGCATCTTTTATAATTTTTGAGAGGAGCTCCAAATGACTCACTTTCAGGTTTTCTGTTTCAAAGTCTGTCAAAGCCATGTGCCTGGAGGCACAGTAAGTGAATTACTTTCACCACTTGGCACATGGGGAGAACAAGACCAAAGGGGGATTTGGACATGTCTGCGGGAAACAAGTTTTCTTTCCCGTGATTGTCTTGATCGTCCATTTGTTCATTCATTCACTCATCCCTCATTCGCAGGACAAACACTAACTGGAGGCCTGCCGTGCGCTCTGCATCGCACTAGGAGACGGCGCAGCCAGGAGTCAGTGATAAGCCAGCCACAGGGTTCTGGCCTCGTGGAGCCGCTTCTCAGCCTGGACTGCAGTCAGGGAGTCAGGCAGATAATAAATGTAGAAGCAGCAGAGATAAGCCTTCTGCAGGAGCCAGATGTGGTGAGGGGCACGTGAGAGTGGAGGCCAGTGGGGGCACATAAGACTTCCCAGATGACGCGGCTTGGGGCTGAGTCCTGAAGGATGGGCAGGCAATTACTGAGCAAGGGAAGGGCGAATGGGGCACGACAGGAGGGAGGGACTTCGAGCCAGGGTCCAGATCCAGAGAGTAGGGACATGTGGCTGAGGAACAGGCTCAGGAAGGAGGGGGCCCAGGCAGGGTCTGAGGAGCCATGCTGTGGACTTGGCCCTTTGTCCTGAGAATGGAGAAGAGCCGTTGAGAGGTTGCACGAGGAAAGACATGATCAGAATTGCAAGCTGTGACAATGCCCCTGCCGTAGATTTAGGATGGCCGTCCCTTCCAGGGGAAGAGGCTGTGGTAGACAGTCCAGCACTGCAGTGTAGCCCGGGGAGCCATGGCAATGGCCTGGGGAGGGGGAGGAAGGGTGGGAGAGGAGTGCAGTTGGCAGGGTGCCCCTCCCTGCCTTGGGAAACAGATCCAGAACATGTGTTTGAAGCAGGTGTGAGTCTGAAGGCAGGGATCGTCACAGATTCAGTTTTGGATGTGCTGCGCGTGGCCCTGAGGCACCAAGCAGAGGAGCCCCGGGGTCTGATGTGGGGGTTTCCTTTCCCGTCTGTACCCTGAAGCATTTCTCAAGTCTGGGAAGCTCACGTGTCTTTGCCAAAGTGAGCAATTTTGTGTTCTTGGTGACAGATGAAGATACATTTCACTTTCAGTAAAACATAAAATAATTTTAAACCTGAACTTGAATATCACCTCCAACAACCACCTTCTGCCTTCTCCATGCCTGTTTCTCCCCCAGGCCAACTACACTGACCCCCAGAGCAAGCTGCGTTTCAGCACCATCGAAGAGTTTTCCTACATTCGGAGGCTGCCGTCCGACGTGGTCACTGGCTACCTGGCCCTGAGGAAGGCCACCAGCATCGTTCCCTGAGCCTGGAGGAGGGGAGTGAAGTGGAGAACTGTTTCAAAGGCAGACTTTGGACTCAAGATTTTGTTTCATGGAAACAAACTCATTCTGCTGTCAATCTGGAAATGTCAGTGTTGTGCCTTGGAAAGAATGTTTGGCTTTAATTTAAGGGTTTTTTTTCTTCTATGTTTTCTCTCCAAGTGTGATGTTTCCTGCTGAATTAAATTATACTTCAGTTGTTGCCGCAAGTAAAGTTGTTTGACAAGAAAATATAAAATTGTGCTTTTCATTTAACCCAAGTAAGTGCTCAAATTTTTGCTTCAAAGCTGTGAACTCTCTTATGACATGTTTAAAGACTCTACAGTGAGTCCTGACAGTGAGGCTGGATTGCCCCTGATCCTGGTGGCTCCCTCTTGGAGCACGTTCGTCTTTGTGTTTGTTCAGAATGCTGGAAAGAGGTCCAGAATCGGGGCTGGAGAAGAGCTGAGTAACTCGCCCTGTCGCCCTGGGCCCCGGCCTCTGAATCAGCCATTCTTCCCAGCCTCCAGAACCGAGAGAGATGTGTCTGCTAGTTAAGCCGCCTGGTCTGTCATTCAGAGCAGCCTGAGCTGCCTAAAACACCACCCTGGCCTGTTCCTGGAGGTGTGGGGTGTGAACACTCACCCCTTCCAAGACTAGAAGGGCCTTTATCCTGGTCTAGGATGCTGCTTGCTGCCGAACAGGGCTCGTGACCTCGTCCTCTGAGAAGGGGATGTGCTTGGGCCAGAAGGAGACGTACTCCGAGCCCATCCCCGCAGTTCTCTGGAGGACGGCGGAACCAGACCCTGGGGCTTCTAGGCCAGAGCTACCTCTGCTGCGGGGCGGGGAGGTTAGCCCCCCAGGTGCCTTTTCTTTTTGAGGGAAAGCCCCTCTTACACTCCTTGGAGCATAGAGAAAGGAAAAACAAAGCTGAGGGGCAGCTGGGAGAGGAGCAGCTGGGGAAGGAGCAGCCTGCCAGACAGGTGGCAGTGGCCCAGAACCTGACCTCCTTTCCTCCTGGCGCAGCAGCCCCTTGTGTCACCCAGCCCCTTCCCAGTAGCTGATGGGGAGAGGAGGGGTGTGGTGTGGCTTCTCCCTCCCCCTCCAGTGATGGCCAGGAGAGTGGGAACCATCCCTAAGCCCATGAGCACTGAAGACTGGAGCCTGTGGTACAGGGTCCTTGAACCTTGGCGCAAATAGAACCTCTGAGGCCTTGTTGTAACAGGCGGAGCCCCACTGCTGAGTGACTGACCCGCAGATTAGGGCTGGGGCCCAAGAACTGGCATTTCTAACAAGTGATGCTGCATTGCTGGCCCAGGAACCTCACTTTGAACCCACAGCCGACACGAAGTTCTCTGAGAGGCCAGAGGCTGCTTCCTGGGATCCTGCTCGCACTCCTGCCCCTCCTGCCAGCAGGTGGCCTAGGAAAACCCCCTGTTTCTCTCTTGGTGGAAACAAGGGGTGAGTTGAGGGCCCTTCCTGCTCGGCTTCCACCGTCTATTACACAGAGAAAACTTGGGGCAGGTCCACTTCTTTTCCATGAAGTCCCCCCCATTTGTATGGTGTCCCAGTATCTAATGCTAACCACTTCTAGAAATGGAAATTCTAATCATTTCTAACACTGATTGCTGGGGGCTACCTCGGTCCTAACTATTCAGACTCCCCTGGGCCAGAGTCGGGGAGGAAAGAGGATCCCTGCCTGGCACGCATCCACCATGGGGGCCCACAGACCCCTGCAGGTCAATCCAGGTTTCAGGGGAGGGGTGTGTGCGCCATAAGCCCTCTGTCAGAGTCACCTGGGACCTATTAAAATGCAGATTCCTGGGCCACACCCTGGACCTTCTAACCCCTTCAAGGAGTGGGGCCCAGGCATCTGCATTTGACAAGTGTCCCAGCCAGCATGAATGTGACGCACAGGAGGGTGAGAACCGCCCCCTTCCACAGGCAGAGGGGAAGCACGTGTGCCAGACACCTGGCTCCCTTCTTTCCTGTTCCCCTGCCAGGCCTTCCTTGCCAGCGTTTTTTTTGCCAGAGCTGAGTTCCGAAGGTCAGGTCACTTCTCTCACCCCAAGAAAGAGGGATCCAAGCTGAGCCAAACTCAGCTTCAAGCTGTGAGCAGCTCCGGGAAGGAGTCCTCCCACTGGTTTTGGAACAGACGGGTAATCTGGTGCTGAAACAGCCCTTGCTGTCCATGCCTGGCCCAGTGGTTCTCAGCCCCGGCCGTACGCTGGCATCGCTTCTGCTGGGGGAGGTGTAGAGGAAGATGTCAAAACGCACAGAGATTCGGATTCAGCCGGCCTGAGCTGCGGGGTGGGGGTGGGGCACAGTGTCTTTTAAACTCCCCGGACGATTCTGATGTGCAGCAGTGCTGAGACCCTCGCTGTGACTGCAAAGAGCACTTCACGTGGGGTGTGTTTTCTAATTCACAGGTCGGCTGGCTCTGCGCGCCCCAGGCCCATGGGCAGTTTAGAACGGGGTTCCTCGTGTGTGTGTATTTAGGATTCCTTTTTAAACTGTCCCAGCACTGGAGCCAGAAACATGAATGACACTGACAATTCCGCCCTCGTCTATCTTTACCTGCCATGTTCAATTGGTCCCCAAGCTCCCACTTCGTCCACACTGATCCTTTCTCTTCTATTAGCCTGGTTCGTACCCAACTTCAGGAACATATCGCCTCCTGCCTGGACGTTTTTGGTGTCCTTCTAACTGCTCTTTGCAATAGTCTGACCCTCACACCTCTGCTTTCCCCTCTGCCCTCAGAGGGCCTTTCCACAACTTCGGATGGTGTTTGACCTAGCCCATCACAGCACGCCCACTGGTGATTTGTCTCAGAGACCCTGTCAATTCTGGCACTGGCCTGTAGTATCCAAAGGATAAATTCAGTCCCTTAAAAGAGAAAACAATTAGCTGAGAAACCAGATTGTTTTCATAAGATCAAAATGAGGCCCAATCTGCTCTGAGTGGAGTCTGACTTTCCCAATATCTGATACTGGTCTTCACTTCAAGAGGAATAGTGCAATCTATCATCTGGCAGAGTTTGGAACTACCTGTAATGTTAGACAAATGCTTTCCAGAGCTGGGAGCAGCCCATGTGGATGAGGGGGACGCATTTTGCCCCCATCACCAAGGTTAAAGCATACATCCATCCGGGTTTTGGAAGTGTTCTGTAATCAAGCCGAAAGTGTTTTCAATGAGAAATCTCTCATTTCTGAATCCACGGCCACTGAAAAGTGACATGAGGTACTTGATGCTGTTCCTAGTGACCTGCAACTGTGAGTTGGGAGTGCTTAACTTAGTAAAAATGAAAGGTAATGGAGTACGGAGTAAGGAAGCCAGAGCATAGAGGACAGGTATCCTGGGAAGAGGTTGAAAATGATGTCCTCTTACAAATGCTTAGTGTTATTTAAAATAATGCCCCGTCTGATAGAAACGTGCAGGCCTTATTTGGATCCTGATTCAAACAAAAAGAAATTAACATATTTTTGAGACAATTGGAAATTTGATATTTGATGAGTTTTAGGAACTCTTATGAATGAATACTTTTAGTGTTGATAATGGTCTTGTAATGTTAAAAGAAAGGATTCATATCTTTTAGAGACAGACACGGAAATATTTATGCATGGAATGATATGTTATCTGGGATTTGCTTCAGGCTAATACAGGAGAGAGGAAGTGGATGGGCTAGTGTTGAAACAAGATTGGCCAGGAGTCAGTCATTGTTGAAGCTGAGTGATGGGTACTTAGACGTTCATTATAATATTCTACTTTCATAGGTGTTTGCATTTCTTCATAATAAAAAGTTTTTTTTAAAGAATGTGATGTTTTTATTATAAAAAATTGTGATGAACTTTTACCTAAAATTGGTGATTTGCATGAGTGTGAAGTGGCTTGTGGAAATTAAAAATTTGAGGAATGCTGTTGAATGGTACATAGTCTTGAATAGAGGGGACACCCAATTCCTAAAGCATTTCACAGAGAATTAGTTGGAAGAAAAGAACCACAAGGCAGGTGAAAATGTCCTCGAGATATTCTCAGCAGAGGTCTTCATTGTGGGCTCTGTTGTCCGGGAAGGCTGTACGAGTATTTCCTGTGTAAGGGTAGGCATGGGAATGGAGAGACCAAAGACATCAGCTTCGTGTTTCTTATGGGGAGTAAATAAAAATGTACTAGAATGGGTTTGGGATGCATTAAAATGACTGACTGTAGCTTGAGAAAATACGTGTCCTCATTCCTGGTAGAACTTGCAATATTTATACAGCTACACAGAGAAGGAAATTAGAGCATCAAAGAACTAAGCATGTGGACAGAATGGTTCAAGGAACTGCTTTTACAGAATTTCAAATGCATTTACGCTTTTGTGCCTATATTAAGGAACTGTATTGAAAGAAGTGAAGACACACAGTCCTACAAAAATCCCTATTGCATCTATTGCAGAAACACCCTGGAGGGTCCCACACTGCCCTGCAGGGCGAGCAACCTGGCTTGGCCCCCAGACGTGGAGACGGATAGCCTGGGTTTGACTCTCATTTCTGCAGCGGACTAACTCTCTGATCTTGGGCAAATTACTAACTTACTCTCAAATTCTCAGTTTCCTTATCTGTAAGGCGAGCATCATAATCATCATATCCACCCGGCATGACTGCCAGAATCAAATGAGAAAATGTCAGAAGGGCATGTAACTCCGTCCCTGGCCCACATGCCCAGCAAGTGTGAGCTGTGATCCCTCATCTCTTTCTGGTCTCTGTATTTAAAAGGTGGGTCTTTTCCCGACTTGCCGAGTGCACCTTCTGCCTGACTACTTTGTCTCTTCTCTTTGGCTCCAAGGACTCCTAGATCCAAATGTGCAGCCCACTTGTCGTCACCGAGCAGCAGCGTCTGACAGACACTCCGTGTGCTCACCTTACTGCTGGCTCCGCCAGCTCTTTTCCTTGTCCTCTTCATCGCTTATCTTGGTCATTTATTCTATTCTTTATTCTGTGTATTTTTATAAGCTGTCTCAACTTTTTTATGGAGCAAGGGAATGAGTAAATAACTAGCTAAGTAAGTAAGTGGTCTATGGCTGAGGCCAGAGAAGGCGAGGAGTCATGGGGTGGGTGGGGAGGACTCTGATGAATGAGCTCCTCCAGGTGGGGGGCAACAGAAACCACCCGCAGGACTCTTCAAAACCATTTTTGGTTTATGCCTTCCTTGGTATTCACCATGTCTGCTACCATTATTTGTTTCCCTGTAATAATGGGCTAGGAAACCCTTAAAAACAAAAAAAGGGCCAACTGCCT